GTTCTGCAAAGTGGACTGTGAGCTTCCTGTTCTGGAGGTTCTTTATAAATCCAGACTTTTAAACCGAGCTCTAAAAATAAACAATGACTCTTCTGGCCACCCTGGAATAGCCATGTTCCAGCTTCTTCCCTCTGGCAGGAGATATCGTTCGCTGAGATGCGGGACATCTCGATATGCTAACAGCTTCTTCCCACAAGCTGTTATCAGTTTGACTAGGACACTTTCATGTTCTTGCACTGGTATTGAAACCGTTTTAGTCGAGGAATTTCACTGTGACAATTGTTTACTGTTTTATTTGTTTTATTTCTGTACTTTTATTGTTGTTTTATGTATGTACTTGTCTTTCGCACACTGGGGACTTTAAAAAATGTATTCCAATGTGGTTTTTCTGCAAATGGCAAATAAATGAATCAGAATCTGAATCTTTTGGAACAGGGGCATGCCCACGAGTCCATTCCACCAACCAGTGTGATATGGCATTCACACTGCAGTAATGACAGAAAAACTTGTTACAGGGAGAGCTAAGGATAATTATCGGGCGAATCTTTAGCATTTCACTCTTGTTTTGCTTTCCGCAATGTGGCCAAATTGGGTAGATTACTTGCTTCCACTCACTTCTGACAGGGATTTTTAGGGTCCTTCTCTCCCATTTCAATTTGCTTTTTAGGCACACAATCCAAATATTGTCCAGCAATTGTATTGGTTCTGCTTTACAATTGTGTTTAAAGCAGAAATTCTGTCCCCTACCTGGTGACAAAGATTTGTCCAAACGAGGGCCTTGCTATTTTTTCATTCTTTACAACTGCTTGCTGCAGAAAGAGCGTGAAGGAAGGTAGATAGGAGTGGGGGACGAGGTCCCCCACTCCTATCTTTTTCGGAATCTAGGACAATAAAAGAAAAATTCAAAGGTTAATTTTATTTCTTCTAATGTCAGAAAATAAAATACTGTATTTTACTGTATGACTGATTCCTAATGTTTTGCCAAATATGGAAATGTATTGTGGTTACAAATGTGGTCATAAGTCATAAGGTATTTTGAAGATTTATAATACATTTCTCTGAGAAATGCCAAAAACAATAATTCTGTCAAGGTTGTGTAAAATGACGAGCAAAATGCTGGCTATTTTGCTTGATTTTGTTTGTCATTCATTCGTAGATTGTCAAACATTTGTGTTAGATATACAGTGGGGCAAAAAAGTATTTAGTCAGCCACAGGTAGTGCAAGTTCTCCCACTTAAAATAATGACAGAAGTCTGTAATTTTCATCATAGGTACACTTCAACTGTGAGAGACAGAATGTGAAAAGAAAATCCAGGAATTCACATTGTAGGATTTTTGAAGAATTTATTTGTAAATTATGGTGGAAAATAAGTATTTGGTCACTTCAAACAAGGAAGATCTCTGGCTCTCACAGACCTGTAACTTCTTCTTTAAGAAGCTCTTTTGTCCTCCACTCGTTACCTGTATTAATGGTACCTGTTTGAACTCGTTATCTGTATAAAAGACACCTGTCCACAGCGTCAAACAGTCAGACTCCAAACTCCACTATGGCCAAGACCAAAGAGCTGTCGAAGGACACCAGGAAAATAATTGTAGACCTGCACCAGACTGGGAAGAGTGAATCTACAATAGGCAAGCAGCTTGGTGTGAACAAATCAACTGTGGGAGCAATAATCAGAAAATGGAAGACATACAAGACCACTGATAAGCTCCCTCGATCGCAAGATCTCATCCCGTGGGGTCAAAATGATCATTAGAACGGTGATCAAATATCCCAGAACCACACGGGGGGACCTGGTGGATGACCTGCAGAGAGCTGGGACCAAAGTAACAAAGGTTACCATCAGTAACACACTACGACGACAGGGAATCAAATCCTGCAGTGCCAGACGTATCCCCCTGCTGAAGCCAGTGCATGTCCAGGCCCGTCTGAAGTTTGCCAGAGAGCACATGGATGATACAGCAGAGGATTGGGAGAATGTCATGTGGTCAGATGAAACCAAATGTCACCTGAGGTACCTTTTTAAAAGTTCACAGTAACAGTAAATAAACCAGGAACTAAAACCAAGGACACAGGTAAGTATGTAAAAAAACAAACGACAGAGACAAGACTTAAAAAGTGCGATTAGAATTTTATTAAAAAGCTGGAGCAATTAAGAGTTTTAAATTTTTTTTAATTCATTGCAATTTAATTATTAAAAAGTCCAGAAGTCAAAATATATAAAAACCCACCAAAAGGTTTAAAAGCTGCAGCCCCTGGGCATCATACAAAATTCAATATACTAAAATAAACTAATGCCTAAATGAATCCAACGAGGGCGACCTGCGCGGGGAGTAGCCCCACCCGTAACAAAACTGAAAGTGCTACCATCACTCACAACAAAACAACCTGAGACCCAATAGTGCAAATAACTGAAAGAAACTGGGCTAGGTCCCCCTCAGGCGCGCCCCAGGGGAACTAAATATAACTAAACTATACACCTAAGCTCCAGAGTCTACAGCATTAAAACCTAAAAACCTTTATTTAAAAGTGCAGTGCTAGGTTAAAAAAACACAAAACAGTAAACTAAAGGCAAAACCAAAACCCTACAAAACAGTAGCAGGCTACTCCTCAGTGCTGTTTACGATTCCCAGGGGAAATGCCACCGGGTAATCCAGCTACACAACTACATTAGAAACCAGACGTTTGTTAAAATAAGGGTGGAAGAGAGTTAAATCCTTACCTGACACCAGCGAGCAGGAAGCCGAGACTGAGCATAACGTAGTCGCCATTTTTAGCTCAGCTCCCCCCCGGATGCCAGGCAAGTACCACTGTGGCGGTGGCGACCCCTAGTGTCCGCCACACAAAGTAGAACTGTTTGGTATTAACTCAACTCATCGTGTTTGGATACTGAGTTGCATCCCAAGAACACCATACCTACTGTGAAGCATGGGGGTGGAAACGTCATGCTTTGGGGCTGTTTTTCTGCTAAGGGGACAGGACGACTGATCCGTGTTAAGGAAAGAATGAATGGGGCCATGTATCGTGAGATTTTGAGCCAAAACCTCCTTCCATCAGTGAGAGCTTTGAAGATGAAACGTGGCTGGGTCTTCCAGCATGACAATGATCCCAAACACACCGCCCGGGCAGCGAAGGAGTGGCTCCGTAAGAAGCATTTAAAAGTCCTGGAGTGGCCTAGCCAGTCTCCAGACCACAACCCCATTGAAAATCTTTGGAGGGAGTTGAAAGTCCGTGTTCACTGCTCTTGAGAAGATCTGCAAGGAGGAATGGGCTAAAATACCAGCTACTGTGTGTGCAAACCTGGTAAAGACCTATAGTAATCGTTTGACCTCTGTTATTGCCAACAAAGGTAATATTACAAAGTGTTGAGTTGAATTTTTTATATTGACCAAATACTTATTTTCCACCATAATTTACAAATACATTCTTTAAAACTCCTACAATGTGAATTCCTGGATTTTTTTTTCACATTCTGTCTCTCACAGTTGAAGTGCACCTATGATGAAAATTACAGACCTCTGTCATTATTTTAAGAGGGAGAACTTGCACAATTGGTGGCTGACTAAATACTTTTTTGCCCCACTGTACGTAGTTTTTTGCCCCACTGTACGTAGTAACAACATTACATACGTAGTGTGATCAATAAAAAGGCAGAAGGGGTAAAAATGGATACAAATTTAATAAAATATATACAAAAGAGGATCCGTTAAAAAAAGAGATAAAACCGTAGTCCGCTGGTCCCCGTGTCCTCCAAGCCCTTCTGCCCCGGGACCGGGCCGCAGTCTCGCCAGCCACGCGCCAACCACAGGCCACCACCGGGCACCCGCGGGGGAGAGCCGGCACATCCCGGACGTGAGTGGGCCTAGCCCGGCGCACACGTGCCTTCATGCGCTATCAATGCGCGCCCCTCACCGGTGCCGCTCTCCCTGCTGGCCTCATTCCCCCGTGGTCTCTGGCTGGCGGTGCTCCTCCTTGGCCCGGTCCGTTGTCCTTCTCCTCTCTCGTTCTCTCTCTCTGTCTCTGCAGTGCCCGCCCCCAATTTGACGTCTTCTTGGTTAAAAGCAGGTGTGGGTAATTAGGGAAAGTGTCCAAGGAACTGTGATTAAAATGCATGCAATAAAATCATAAAAACCACACAAAACACAAAAATAAAAGCGTCCTTGTAAAATCCACTTTCCCACACAAGTAGTCTGTGTTTTTTTTTTTTGAATCACCCCCCTCCCATTTTTTGCATTTCCAACAATTATTGTCATCAATTAAGTTTAGCCGAGCCATTCTGCTGGGAGTCCAATAGCATCTGTTTAAGATTATGTACTTTATCAACTGAGTTTGAGTGTCATGGGATGTAAGATACCAATTAGTGATAATAGTTTGCCATTGCTCTTGCTCTATGGGAGGATGTTTGCTGTAGTTTTTAGTTGTCTGTGGTATTTTGTGGTTTAGGAAAAAGCCGACCAAGCCACACCACAGCAGAGCAGTGTTTGAGCATCAGCGGGACCAGAGAAAGGGAAGAGGGGTCTTAAGGAAGTGGGCCCGCTACAATAAAAGACAAGGGACATTGGGGCACTGTACACAGCTTTAATAATCCATTTTGTATAGTGCTAGGACAAAATGAAACATGGTGGCAGCAAGAGTTATTCTTAGAAGCTGTTAGCCTAGCTCGAGCATGCATGAGATGGAGTTGTGCGATGTCGACTGCGGTCAAGAGGTCAAGAGCTTTAGGGCAGCATATACATTTCCACGTTAAACTGGCGCAACTGAACTTTGCAGCTAAGAAGGGCTGCTGGCCCTAGTAAGTTCTGGGATGGGAGACAGTGGAGCAGGGGGCTGATGGTCACTTTCCCCCATGCATCTGTTAATACCAAACTGCTTCTTAGAGCAGCTTCAGTTGGCTGTTGGTTTAGCGCCACATAAACCAACCCTTATCTCTGCACAGAACAGGCTGGTTTGCTTTGGCTCTGCTTCTTCATAATGAATGCGTTTCCAATTGTTCTGTCAGCACTTCTTCCCTCTCCTCTGGCCTGGGTGCATCCTGCCTCCTGCCTCACCCTTGCAGCGGACCTGAGCTCTGAGGAGGAACTGGTCAGCAGATTCTCAAAGCTGTGAAGCAGGAAGGAGAATCAGCACAAACAGATGTTTCTAGAAAATCAAATTACAAAGAATTTACTGAACGTTATTTAAAGTGTAACAGGTTAAATTTGGGCCCAAATGTAACCTGGGGAGAATTGTCTTGTTGGGGCAGAACTGTGAAAATATAGTGCAATATATAATTTGTGACAAAAAGTTAAAGAACATTTTTCAAACACCAGGTGGCAGGTAACTAGGTTTTTTTAAAATATGGATTTATTGTAAAGAGTACAAGTATATCAAATATCTCTACTCCTTCAATGTTCTAAATGGGTTACTTACTTTAGAAAAACAGTGTGAAGCCAAAAGCTGCATGAGAAGGTTTGTCCAATGTTCAACTAATACATGAAGTAGTTGGCTGGATACCCAGTGAAAGAAAACTGTATTGAACTAGAGAAGACTCCTGTCCTTGGCAATGGCGAGATGTTAGAAAATGTCTTGATTATGAACATTTATTATCAAACATCAGAACCATTTTGAAGTAATATGGCCAGCAGCATCGGCAGCACTTTAGCAGCATCAGCAGCACTTTAGCAGCATCAGCAGCACTTTAGCGAGCAGTCAATTGTTTGCTCGCAATTGACTTATTTTGTCTGGCTGGTTCTTAATTTACATCTCTTGAAAACAATCCCAACTCCTGGGCTGTTTGGGTTCAACTTGGCCCTTTATTGTTTGATATGACCCAAAAGGTTTCACAAATCTCAACACATTTAGATTTACATGTATGCATACCCCAAACTGCTTATTTGAGCTCACTTAGCCTAGAATTGAGTTTAGGATTCTTTTTCGATAACTTATGTATTCTTCCAGTGCCAATCAGAGGCAGGTTCAGGGGGTCCCAATCATATCCTGCTGCTTATGAGAGGGAAAAGGACTGAAATAACATTGGGGACAAAGCGAGTGAATCCCAATGCAACGAACATGCGGGAAGTGTTTTTGTGAGATGACAGAACACACCCCCCTGTGTGTAAGGATGTCCTGTCATTAGAACAGGATTTTTACGCAGCTCTTCAGCTGAACCGGACTCTTGTCTGAGGGACTGCAGCACAGGGAACACCTCCACAAAACAAGGTGAGTGTCCTTTAAACATGACGCAACACACTCCTGTTTTGTGGTGATTTATGTGACACCTCTGGCTCATGATTTATTTCTTCAAAATAAATCAGTGTAAACGCCATCATTTGAGGGGAAATACTGGTGTAACACATCTTCCAAGTATATCGCAGATTCAGAAAAGAAAATGGTTGAATAGGGACTGTAGAGGTCAGGTAGTTACCATAGCAACCACAAAGTAAACAAGCAACAAAGCTTTTCTATATTCATTTACACTGTGTAGTTCTGTTTACTTTGGGTCTCGTTTAATTGTTTTTATTTTGTATTTTGTTTATTATTTATACATTTTGCATAACGATTGAAATAAAATTCTAACTACTACTACTAATAGTGAGTAGAAATATTAGACCACCCCTGTACCTTTTACAATCTTTTAACGTGTTTTTCTCGTGCCATAGTTGTTTTTGAATTTGACACCACAGAGAGGGTTTCCATATTACAACTTTGCATTACTTCAACGACATTTTAGATGTATTCATTTATAGCTGCCAGTGATCAGGTGTTTTGAGTGCAGAGGCCCCACAGTAATTAGTAATCACTACAATCAGTAATTATAATCATATCTTGAACTTAAAGTTTGGGTGCATATTGTTTTGAAAATACATTTTGTATCGATCATATTATTTAGATAGAGTTTTTTCTGGCTTGATTGTACCATGCATTTCATAGAACAAGGTCACACATAGCACTTTTACAATGTTCTTAGAGTACCAACATTTTTCCATTCACTGAGGGAAGTGCGACAGCAAACACCTGGCACATTGAAGCCTCCGTCTATCATCATCCATTCAAGCATATTTATACCTATTGCACACGTTTTTAGTGATGGGGAAACCAGAGAACCCAGAGGAAACCTACAGACACAAGGAGAATGTGAAAGGCCCCACCTGGAGTTAGAATCATGCTTTCTTGCTGTGAAGCACAAGCTCTAACCACTGCACCCGCGCAGGCTGCGCAGCACTGCAGCCTATGGTTGACACGATAGAAGCGCACTTAAATCTAAGCTGTCAGGAAATCTACAGCTTTTCACAACAATCAGATTTAGTCTGCCTTGCCATTATTCACTAAATCCACACCATTGATGCAATGACAACATTATCGTCTTATCTGCCACAAGACAAGCCTTTCTATTGCGCTGCAGTCCTGATTGGTCTTCTGATCCTGTGGGTGTAGCACAAACTGGAGCCGGTGTTCTGTCGAGTTGGTCTGCCCATCGAGATGAGCTCCCTCAGCTGATAATGATGCAATGCAAACGGCAGCCAAAGCAAACCAAGATGGCGGATATGAAGTTTGCGAATGGCTTTAAAAGTTAAAATACGAACGAATTAAGACACGAATGTCACTTTTAATACAATTGGAGGCGAGATGTTGGTGGTTCCGTGTTGTGATATGTGGGTTTTAAGAGTAAACGTTTTGTGTAAAGTTTGTTTTAAGCAGTCAACTGCTCCTGTGAAACCACACTGCTACTGTTATGATAGCAGTCCCCGAGTTGACTCCTGCATACGTCGTTTTACTGACGCGTTCTGTGACTGGTCTGTCGGGTTGATAAAGGAAATAATAAATTGAATTTAATGCATGTATCATACTGTATTCAATATAATTAACAATTGTGTGTTCAAACGAAATATTTAATTACATCGAGTTTCTCTAGTCTAGAAATCTCTAGTTACTTCTGCTAATATTTGGGACGTCCACGATGCGATCATGCGACAATGAACAATAACTGACTTAAATGGGCAAACATTTAAGCCAGTGTAGTCAATGCAGTCATATTTTCTTGCACTTAAAACTTTCGCTCACTATAGTGAGACAAATTGTAACATCTCACAAAAAAGATTAGTTTTTTCCTTTTATGACCTGCATAGTTATAAAAGGAAATGCATAATAGATTGTTTTCCCTTCTCTCTGTAGAATCATGGAGTCGCATGGGCATAATCTCTCCATCAACGGCACGCCCTGGTACATTTTTGAGTGCACGTTGGAGCTGAACACAGACTATCGCCGGATCGCTCTCTTCCTCCTCTACCTCTTCATTTTCATCACCGGCCTGCTGGAGAACCTCCTTGTGCTGTGGGTTAACTGGAGACGACGTCACTCGGCCAACGGCGTGCTCTTCTGTGTGCTCAACATTAGCCTCTCCGACATGATGGTCATCGTCATCCTCCCTTTCTACATGCTGGAAGTCACCATCAACCAGGTGTGGCTCTGGGGTCGTTTCCTCTGCAAAGTCACCAGTCTCGTCTATGCCGTCAACTTCTACAGCAGCACTTTTTTCCTGGCGCTAATGACTTTGGAGCGCTACCTGATGCTAACAAAGCCGACGTTCCCCGCACTGTTTCCTGCAGTGGGCAGGCGACGATGGTGGCTGTGTGCAGGAGTGTGGCTTTTCTCTTTATTTCTTGCACTCTTGGAAAATGTCCACGTAGATTTGCTCGAATGGGATGAACCAGGCTGCTACATGCTACCCGAGCACAATTATCAGGAGTGGTTTATTTCAACGTCAGTGATTTCTCTGCTTTTTCAGTTTTTGATTCCTGGTACGGTCATTATTACATGCAATGTCCTGTTAGCCAAGGCAGTACGTGACACTCCGGATGTTCAAGAGCAACGCGATGTGTGGCTAGTGCACGTCTATTCACTTGTTTTTGTGGTATGCTGGTTTCCCCTCCATCTCGTTTTGTTATTACTAATGATCGACGATATTGACTTTTATCTCTTAAGCTGCAACGCCGTAGAAATTCTTTACTTTTCCTACTCGATCGTTCAAGGTATCTCCCTGCTCCATTGCGTCGCCAATCCAATCCTCTACAACTTTCTAAGCAAGAGTTTTCGCAATAATCTTATCAATAGAGTTGTGAGCTGTATCCCGAAAGACGGCAATAATATAGTGGATGCAGAAAGCCAACCCAATGGAAGAGGAGGTGGAGAGACCATGGGAAATCAACGCAAGATGAGCAATGCCAGCACTAGCCAGTCTGACGTGGTCTTGTAAGGCAAACCAAGTTCTGTGGTCGGAAAAGTGAACTGAGAACTGTTCATATGCGGTGTAAAGTAAAGTACTCCCATTGGGTGACACACATTACAGTACACAGATTCATTTGTTTCCAATTATTATTTACTTTTACTCTTAATGATTCAGTGCTGGGTGTCTGGTTATCTATGTGCTAGCTCAAAAATATATTTCTGCTCTCATTTGATCTGCACCTTTTCATATTCTTTAAAATCATGGAAACAATGTTAAAATGTTATATTTATATTATAGCATTTGGAAACTCAAAAAACATCTGAAAGATAATACAAATGGGGGATTAGGAGTCACCGGAACAAGGAATACCCTAAATGTTCTACAAACTAATTATGGTAAGTTTATGAGACCCCTAATTGTCTTTTAGTGTACATTTTGTTTCATATGTTTTCTGTACCAGAATGAAGCACTTATTCAAAATAGCAATATGTAATATTTTAATGTCAAGTCATCATTAACTGGCCCTAATATAGGCGGACTTCCGACTTTATCCAGCTGAAAATGTCATTTTGGTGAAATGTGTTAATCCGTGGAGAAATGTTCAAGGGGGGAGCTTGTGACCGCGGGGCACCGCGGGACCGCTTTGTAATGATAGTGGAGCCTGTGAGCTGCTTTAACAACAGCGAAGCGAGCGCGTAGCCGTAACGTGGTCATAATCTTCACAGGATCATAGACCCGCACATGATAATTCTCTTCTTGTTGTGGGCATGTCTTTGCAGAACCTGTCCACGCAATAAATACACCACTGCAAGAAACAGAGCTGGATTATAAAGACTCAGGAAGTGTCCATGTCTTCCCCTGTTGTCTCCTCCCGAAGCGCAACTAAACCTGCTAAATTAAGGCTGGTGTACCTACATTTTCCTTTGTATTAACAGGTATTTATGTAGGTTTTGCCAAAAAGTAAAATGTTGTGAAAAATTCAAACAGAACAAACCAAAGCAGGCGTCTTTTTTTCCACTTAAAAAAGAGCCCTGTGAGTCATTAATTGACTTTTTGGGCTGAGAGAGGATTTTCTTCTACAAGAAGTGAGATGACTAGCGCCAGAGAAACAAGTTTCACACAGGTTTTCACCACTTTTCACAACTACTATTTTTTTTATATATTTTTTTCCACAACAAAGAAATTTCAATATTAGAAGTCACCATTTAATAGTGTATTTCATAAAAAATGTCATGCTCAAAGACTTTTTTGAAATGTCCCATTCTCATGCCTGCATTTGAAGTAGCCTTGTTGATTCGGCTGTGAATCTGGCAACCTGTGACAGGGAGGGTGGAAGAGGACTACAGAATTTTGACTAGTGCCACTTTTGGCCAGATTTTTACATATTGCTCCTTTAACAAATGTTCAAGTGTTTCACAGTTAATGCTCAAAAGACAACAAACATTGTAAATTTAAATAAAGTCTCTTGTCCTACTTTTACTTAAACAAATAGTATTCAATATTCTAATTTCAATGTATATCTTAATCTTTTATGTACTTTGTACATTTTTGTGAGGCGGCCTTGAGTGCCCAAAAAGGTGACATATAAATAACATATATTGTTATTTAAAATAATACTGTGTCCCCAGTTTTATTTTTAGGTCAAAAAGTACGGATGATTTCTTAGCTTCTTCTGAACAAAAAACAAAACAAAATATTGGTTTTGTTTTATATTCCCTGAAAACAAAAAGACACAAACAAAAAATAAGCAAGAAAAACAAAACGTAAACAAAAAAAAATGCAGAAGTATAAACAAACAAAAACACATTTACACAGCATACATATACAGAAGGTGCCGCACAAACATGTGCACACATCCCAGTCACCAACAATAAACAAAAGAAATAGTAGTGTCTCCCTCTTTACGAGACCATAATGACATGATACTTGACATACATTTGCTTAAATCATCACCAACCAATGCAAAAACAAACATTACATTCCATGTACATTATAGTCTGTTCATGTTAGGTGTAAAAGGTTACAATTCATCACAGATTTTTTTCTGTTCTCTGTATGCCTTGATTTAGTTTGAAAAGGTTGGACAAAGCTAAAAGCTTATAGTAATCCAATCACCTCCAAAAAGAAAGTATTTAGAATGTTTAATATAGCCACTCAATCTGCGCACTTTTATTAGTGTTCTTTTACAGAGTATAGAACTTAACATACTAGAAATGACTTGAACTGTCTACAGGCTACCCTTTTGTTTTTGTTCAGCCTGTAAGATGTGATTATCGATGGACGTAATCAGTAAGTAATGAGATGTGAGCGTGACTGTTTTTATTCTCTGACTTATGCCGTACCCTTCGTTCTTGACACAGCGCAAAACTTGAAAGGCTCGCCTCTACGCTTTCCACAGCGCCAAGCGTAGGATGCAGGGCTGATATAAAATACGTGCCAATGGTAGAAACCTGGAGCATGCACAAGCACGCTAACGAGTCGTGCAGCCAGGCGCTCGTCTGCCCAAAATATGTCATATGTCATTCAGTCATAATACTTGTGTTAATTGCGCAATAAAAAAAGACACTTTAAAAATGGCTTTGCATTAACGCCGTTATTAACGTATTATAGATTCTTCAAGTATTCTAAAGAAATGTCCCAATTTTAGTGTAAGTAATATTTTTTAGGGGCGACAGTGGCACAGTTGAAAGAGCATTGGCCTTTGAGCCTGACGGTCCTGGTTTCGAGCCCACCTCAAGACTTTCTCCACCGACTCCCACTGATGTCTGCTGTCGTTGTGTCCTTGGCAAGAAACTTAACCTCTGGGAACCTGGTGCCACAGTGGGGCGGCCGCGGCTGTAAAGTGCCAAACTGGCGTTGTGTCCTTAGGCAAGACACTTCACCCCCATTGCCTAGAATGAGTCTAGTGTGTGTGAATGGTTGGTGGTGGTCAGGGACCGATGGCACATACTGGTTGCCTCGCTTTTGTCAGTGTGCCCCAGGGCAGCTGTGGCTACAGAAGTGGTTTATTACCACCGTGTATGGAGTGAATGAATAATGACATGTGAATCGTCTTTGAGTGTCCAAAAATTATAAATATAAAACCGATGCATTATTATTGTTATTATTTATACCCAAGAGAACAATCAAGTTAATTGCTACCCTTTCATCAGATTGATCTGTATAACCTACAATTATTCGAAGACACAATTATATCTATAATGTTTCAAATGCATTGCTGTACTTTATATTTATGATTTAATTTTAAGTCAGTGTGTATAGAAGGCAAAACATGATGAGGGTTTTGGACTATGCAAAGGTTTGCTAAAGGTTTGATAAAACTCCACTGGGGTGCAGTCAATTCTCGGAGGTTTCCCCTTCTGAAATGAATCAAATCAAACTGCTCGAAGTTCTTCCTCTGTAATCAGACCTTCATAAAGTTTTGTATATTATTGAATTGTTCTGCAATTCTTCTCCTTAAGCCATGCAAATACATTTTTACATTACAAGATTTCTAATTGTCTATGAACCATATGTAAGCCTATGAGTTGATCACAGTTCTTTATTATTAATGCTTTTATGAGATAGGAGATTACTAATAGAAGAATATAATAACAATAATAATGCTACAAATGTAACATATAAGAGAAGAAATATAAACACAAAACACAAAACCTGGTCTAAGAGCCAAAGTATCTTTTTTCCTCATCTTTTATCCAGCCATCCATCTTCTTCTCTTAATCAATTTCTGGGTCGAGAATCTTTCAGCGGGGGCTTCAGGCAAAATGGGTTTAAGTGTCTTGCCCAAGGACACAACAACAGCAGACAGGAAGATAATGAAATATGTAACACTATTCCTTTGTGATTTCCCTCAGTTCCCGAATCCATATTAATATAGTTCCATGTCGGTTCAAATGGCTAAATTATTTTAATATGAGTCAGTCAAAATCATAAAGTGACATTCAAACATTGTAAAATATACAATTTGTTTGTTTTTGATAAAGAGAACTTGAGAGAAAATCCTATATAGAATGTGATGAGATCTGATAATACATATTTTGAATTGAAAATGTGCTGTGCTTTACATAATTTGGGTGACAGTGGCTCAGTGGGTAAAGGCCAATGCTCAATGCCCAAGAGACCTTTTCCACCTGCTCCCACTGATGTCTGCTGTTGTTGTGTCTGAAATAAATTTTATGTTGCGATTAGGGCTGTCAAAATTACAGCGTCATTGACGCTGTAATTTTTTTAATTAATTTTTTTAATTCATTGCGTTAAAAAAAATTAATGCATTTGACGCATGTGCCAAATGACTCGCCCATAATAACATTCAACAACAATCACTGATGAAATGGTACCAAAGCAACGCACTGCTAACAAAATATACATTACAATAACTGAAAGATTACAGCTAGTTTTGCATCCAAAGTTAGTCCAAGGCGGTCCCACTCCCGCAGGTCTCTCCAGAGGATACAATACAACTAGCTAGTTCACTCAGACTTGATTTCTTTAGTTCCCTCTTCTCCTCTTCACTTTTGTGTCTTTTGGGCTGTTTTGCTGTGTATGCAGTTACAGCCAGAGGATATAGCCACTTTCTGCTTCCATGCTGTTCTGTTTACCCACAGCCGCTAGACGAGGCCTGGTCTTAACAGCGCTGCCCCTCGGTGGAAGAGAACGAGCGTCACGCAAAGTTTCTACTCAGAACTTTGCCTGAATTCATACACAAGCTGAATCAGTGAGCTAAATTTTTCAATTAGATTACGAGTTTTAATTCAACTTTTAATACAACTTAGAAAAAATACTGTTTTCTTCATTAAGACAGAATGTTAATAATCTCAATAATGTTAATGGCGTTGTATGTGGATTTATTGTTGTTATAATAAACAAATACAGTACATATGTACACTATGTTGTCATTTATATTTCCATTCAAACAACCATTAACAAAAAAATATGGCATAATTTTGCCAATAGTTCAAAATGCGATTAATCATGATTAATTAATTTTTAAGCTGTAATTAACTTGATTAAAATTTTAGTTGTTTAACAGCCCTAGGTTTGATTTGACAATATTTTTCTGTTAATTTTACAGTATTATTTTTAAATAATGACAAACTGAAAGTAGTTTTGTTAGTATATATGAAGCCCTTTAGTTAATTCTTAGTTGCGGCACCAAGGCCTCTTGGGAGGATGCTACAGGCTTGGCACACCAACATTTGGGGATTTTTGGAGTTGAGCAGTGCCTGGTTTCCTCTAAAAGTGACACTTGGCATTCTGGCCATCAGACCATAGAATCATGTTTTTTATGTTCTGAGAGTAAATTCCATGCCTTTTTGAAACTCCAATTAGGATGTCATTTGCCTTTTGTCTGGTCACTATCTGGCTTTGACTGGTCAACTTGGTCAGAGTGACCCTAGAGGTTCTTGGTCATCTCCCTGACCAATGGCCATCTCCCTCGATTGCTGAACACACCCCACTGTGTGTGATGATGTGATGATGGAACACCTCCACAAAACAAGGTGAGTGTCCTTTAAACACGACACGTTTTTTGTTGTTGTGATAATCTATCATGAGCTAAACCTGAAGCCCATGATTATATATTTAGAACACTAGAAGGAAAATGTATATGTGATTAAAGAAATAAATATATATGAATATAAGACGACACCTTTTTGTTGTTATCTTCTAACCTATGGTGATCAGGTAATAATAGTGTAATAGTGTAATTTAATTATATATATGTATATATTTATATATATATATATATATATATATATATATATATATATATATATATATAAAAATGGTATTGAGGGCGTGCAACAATACCACAACATACGAGGAGTGAGGGGGACTGACGTGAGACTCTGCCAACAAACCTCCACCAGGGACGACCACGCCCAGACCAGACCTTAGGGGAAGAAATGCAGATCTTAGGGGCAAATTGGTAATGGAGAACGAAACAAAAGTAAATAGCTATGCCTTAAAAAAATTATTCTAAGTAAATGATAAGACTAAATAAAAAGACAAAAACCAAAACAAGAAATACTTAAATGAAAACCCAAACAAAACAGCAGTGGCCAACAGCATCTATGAAACAAAATGCTATTAGTTTCATGCCACATAACTACACAAACAAAAAGAGCACAACAGTGTATAATACCATGAGCACTATGTACAAAGTTAGTGAGGAGACATGGCCACGCACGACTTTTAACCAGTGGCCGTGGTAGCAGGCTGCTAAACAGCGTCTGCAACAAAGGAAGAAGAAACACTCCCATTAACCTACGGCTGACATTGTACAACAACAACAGGGAACACCTACCCGGCAGCTACTCGAGATCTGGCAGAACGAGTGAAGCCTGACAGCAGCTTACCTTCCTGTGCACTGGGGTGTCTATAAGTACTGTTGCTGATCGCTACTGAGCCAATACGGAAATGTGAGGGGAGGGGCATGTGTGCCGGGTGCAGTAGTGTATGGTAGCCAGGAAGGGACAAACTACCTACCGCTACATCTACCCCCGGGTTCTTTAAATTGGTGTCCCAACAATTTCAAACCTAATGGAAAGTTGCAGCCCTACTAGCCCTACTTTGCACGCTTGTTGGCAGGTTATTAGGGTTAGGATGCTGGCCGGCTGTCTGACGGGTAGAGCGTCTTGGTGGTGAGCTGGGGACAGGGCTGACCGTACGTGGGGCTGGTAGGAGTCCAACCCGTGACCTGGGGGCGGCGCTGACCGCTAGTGTGGCCGAACAGCAGGGTCGTCAGCCTGGACTGGATGCACAAGTACATCTGGCTCTCGACTCACCACCCAGAGGCCATCTGCGGCCCACTCCCCGGTTTCGGACAGCTCGGGGCTCCGGTTACTTGGGGCAGGCGTGTCAGCGAGAGGGGGGGAAAGACTGCAGGGTATTGGTTTAAGCATATTCCTGTGTACATAGCGTACCTGTGCAGGCTGGTCTTCACGGGCAACTGCATACACAGATTGGCCAGGGCTTGGGGACCCTACCACAATGAATACATCAGGGGCCCAGGCATCCTGAATTTTACTCCGCCCTCGGTGAGAGTGGTCACGTAGGTACACCTTCTGTCCTGCGGGCACCACATCCTCTGTCGCCCGCTTGTCCGCCCTCTCTTTCCTCTGTGCTGCAGCTACCCACATCCGCTCATGGGCATTATCAGCTGCTACTTGCAATCTATGCCGATGCTCCTCTATCCAACGGCAGACTTTCCCTGCAACAGGCTCGTTGACCCTTCCCAGGAGAAAATCCACTGGAAGCTGAGGTTCCCGGCCAAACATGAGGAGGAAAGGTGAATGTCCAGTAGTTTGATGTGGGGTAGTGTTGTAGCTGAAAAGTACTTGTGGCAAGTACTCAGGCCAACGCAGCTTCTGTTATGCAGAAAGAGTACGGAGGAGATTGTGCAGAGTGCGATTAAAGCGTTCGCATTGGCCATTCCCCTGCGGGTGATAAGGGGTGGTCCTAGATTTTTTTATTCCGTACATCTCACACAATTGGTGTATCAATGCATTTTCAAAGCTACGACCCTGGTCGGAGTGTAGTCTGGCAGGAACTCCATACTTATAAAACCACTCTTTGACCAATGTTTGTGCTACTGTAGTAGCCCTCTGGTCGTGGGTAGGGAAAACCTGGGTAAACTTAGAGAACACATCAGTCATTACCAACACAAGTTCTCGTCCATCCCGAGATGGTTCTAGTAATGAGAAGTCAATTGCTAAGATCTCGTTTGGTTTTGATGCCAATAAATGTCTCATAGGCGCTCGTACCTGGGGCTGAGTGTCCCTTGCCAGAGAGCAACGCTCGCACCTCTGACACCACTCCCTGATAGTCTCGCCCATGCCTGGCCAATAGCACCTTTGCCAAATGAGTTCTGTAGTTCGCTCTGCTCCTTGGTGGCCATGGAATGTATGGAGCTGTGTAAAAACCTCTGATCTGAGGGTTTCGGGTAGCACTAGTTGGAAGAACACTTCGCCCCCATCAGGACGTTGACAGGCACGATGTAGTAGTTCATCCCGGAGCACTAGATTTTCCCAATCACGGAGTAACCTTCTGGCCGCAGGGTCAAGTGCCTCCCTCTCCATTCTTCCTGGGGCACACTGCCGCTGTATAAAGGCCAACACCGGGGCGATAGCTGGATCGGCCTGCTGCAACACCTTCACGTCATCTGTTGACCTCTCAGGGATGACTGACATAGCGCATTGAGTAGCCACACTGGTGCATTTTATGGCCAGTTGCACCTCGTTCGGAAGAGGAGTCCCTGGGCGTGCTGGAGTGGGCAGATCAGGAGGTTGGGACTGGCGAGATAGCGCATCCGCATTTTGATTTGTTCTGCCAGGCCGGTATTTTACAGTGTAGTCGAAAACTGACAGCTCAGCCACCCAGCGCTGTTCTGTGGCTCCTAATTTAGCTGTGTTCAGGTAGCTGAGCGGGTTGTTATCAGTCCAGACCACGCACCTATGTCCAAGTAAATATTCCCTGAACCGTTCCGCCATTGCCCATTTCATAGCCAAAAACTCCAGCTTCATGGAACTGTAGTTTCGTTCTGCTGGATTCAGGCTGCGACTGGCATAGGCTATAGGCCGGATCCTCCCCTCCTCCTCTTGGGACAGGACAGCACCCAGACCCTCGTGACTGGCATCCACTTCTAAAATGAAAGGAAGCTGAAAGTTAGCATAGGCCAGGACTGGTGCAGAGACTAACCTTCTTTTTAGTGCTTGGAAGCTCTCTTCGCACTGGGGAGTCCAGGCGTCAGCGAGGCGCTCTCTCCTGCCCCGGTAGTTTTTCTTCCCTGAGAGTTGTGCTACCAACTTGTGTAGGGGAGCAGCCAGTTTTGCGAAACCCTCCACAAATCGCCTGTAATAGCTGGCAAAACCAAGAAATGACCTTAATTCCGTTACAGTATCCGGCCTGACCCACTCTGCTACAGCTGCAGTCTTCTTTGGGTCAGTGGCAACCCCGGATGCCGACACAACATGTCCCAGATAGCTAACTTGCTGCTGTAGGAATTGACATTTACTCAGTTTTATTTTCAGAGACTCTCTGCTGAACCGCCGGAGAACCAGGTCCAATCTGTTCACGTGTTCCTCTACTGTGGGTGAGAAAACGATCACATCATCCAGGTACAGGAGCAATGAATAGCAATTTTGGTCCCCAAACATTCTCTCCATCAGCCTCTGAAATGTACTGGGGGCGTTACATAGCCCAAAAGGCATTCGCTGGAACTCAAAGAGGCCGAAGGGAGTGCAAAACGCTGTTTTCGGCTTGTCCTTTTCCGTGACTGCTACCTGGTGGTACCCGCTTGCCAAGTCAATTGTGGAAAACCACTTGGCCCAGATAATGAATCTAAAGTTTCTTCGATTCGTGGCAAGGGAATGAATTAACATATGAATGGCGCCTCGTACGGTCGACATGGCTCTTTGCTGCTCTCTTTTTCTTTTGTTTTTACTTTTTAACTGTACATCTGGCTATGAACATCCGACCCACCGTTCCCATGGACCTATTACCTGTTTTCTTGGCATCTGCGGCTGATTTAGTCCATGTTCTAGCCAAAAAAGTGTGGGCCCGTAAAAAGGGAAAGCGCGGAGGCCTGCTCGTGCGTCTTAGGAGGAGAGGAGCGCGCACGGCTCTCCCCGGCATTTTTCTCTCCAACGTACGCTCACTGGGCAATAAGATGGACGAACTCAGCCTGCTCATGAGAAGAAACAAGGACTTCGCCACATCCTGTGTCCTCTGCTTCACTGAGACCTGGCTAAATGAGCGGATCCCGGACTGCGCTCTGGAACTGCAGGGCTTTGGGCTGTTCCGCGCGGATCGCCATTGTGCGCTCTCAGGGAAGAGCAGAGGCGATGGACTGTGTTTCTACGTCAATACAAACTGGTGTAACGATGTGACAGTGATCTCCAAGCACTGCTCTCCTGCTCTGGAATATCTTTTCATTCATTGTAAACCATATTACACCCCGCGTGAAATTGTTTCATTCATTCTTGCCTCTGTTTACATACCGCCATGCGCGGACGCGCGCGAGGCTCAGCGCGCACTTGCAGAGCAAGTACTGTGTATGGAACGTTTATACCCGGACTCTCTGATTATTATCCTGGGGGATTTTAACAAGGGAAACTTGAGCCAGGAATTACCCAAATACAGACAGTTTATCAAATGCCCGACCAGAGAGGAGAAGACTCTGGATCACTGTTACACCACCGTACGCGGAGCTTTTCGCGCTGTTCCCAAGCCAGCCCTCGGCTTCTCAGATCACTCCATGATACATCTGGTTCCTGCTTACAGACAGAGACTAAAGCTCTCGAAACCTGCAGTGAGGAGCTCCAAAGTGTGGTCTGATGAAGCTGTGGAAGAGCTGCGCGCATGCATAGAATGCATGCGCAGACTGGGACCTTTTCAGAGCTGCCACAGACAGCTTGGATGAATATACGGACACTGTGACGTCATACATTCACTTCTGTGAGGATAGCATCATTCCAACAAGGACCAGGGTCATCTATAACAACGACAAACCCTGGTTCACTGCTAAACTCCGGCAGCTCAGGAAAGCAAAGGAGTCTGCTTTCAGGGAGGGGGACCGCAGCGGCTACAAAGCAGCTAAATATCAGTTCAGGAAAGAACTGAAAGCAGCCAAGTCCCGGCACAGAGAACGACTACAGGAGCAGTTTGGTAACAACGATACTGCTTCTGTCTGGAGGGGCCTACGGGAGATCACCAACTACAAACCCAAAGCCCCCCCCTGTGCTGATGACCACAAGCTAGCTGACGAACTGAACTTATTTTTCAGTCGCTTTGATGCTGCCCCTGACACCTCTCCCTCCCCCACCCCCCACTACTCTAACGACCCACCCATCAGCCCTGCCCCCAGCCTAACAATAGCCTCTAAAGACATTAAACAACTCTTCCTGAGGCTGCACCCCCGCAAAGCTCCTGGCCCGGACCACGTGTCTCCAGCCACTCTGAGACACTGCGCCAGTGAGCTTACTCCTGTGTTCACGGACATTTTCAACACCTCTCTGCAGTCCTGCCATGTCCCGGCCTGCTTCAAATCCTCCATCATTGTCCCCGTCCCGAAGAAGCCCAGGATCACAGGACTCAATGACTACAGACCTGTAGCACTTACGTCTGTCGTCATGAAGTCTTTTGAACGCCTGGTTCTCTCCCATCTCAAGTCCCTCACCTCCCCCCTCCTGGACCCCCTGCAGTTCGCCTACAGAGCCAACAGATCTGTAGACGACACCATTAACCTGGCCCTCCACCACATCCTACAGCACCTGGACTCCCCGGGGACCTACGCCAGGGTCCTGTTTGTGGACTTCAGCTCTGCCTTCAACACAATCCTGCCATCCCTGCTCCAGGACAAGCTCTCCCAGCTCAACGTGCCCGATTCCACCTGCAGGTGGATCACTGACTTCCTGACGGACAGGAAGCAGCGAGTGCGTCTGGGGAAGAATGTCTCGGACTCTCGGATTATAAATACAGGAGCCCCACAGGGCTGTGTTCTTTCTCCCCTGCTCTTCTCCCTGTACACCAACCACTGCACCTCCAGCCACGACTCTGTGAAGCTGATCAAGTTCGCGGACGACACCACGCTCATTGGACTCATCTCCAACAACGATGAGTCCGCCTGCAGGAGGGAGGTGGACCGGCTGGTGTCCTGGTGCAGTGGTAACAACCTGGAGCTGAACGCCCAGAAGACAGTGGAGATGATTGTGGACTTCAGGAAGAGCACTGTCCCCCCGCCCCCACCCTCCGTGATGGACTCCCCCATCACCTCTGTCAGTCCTTCCGTTTCCTGGGCACCACCATCACCCAGGACCTCAAGTGGGAGCCGACCATCAGCTCCCTCATCAAGAAGGCCCAGCAGAGGATGTACTTCCTGCGGCAGCTCAGGAAAGCCAAGCTGCCTGCACAGATGTTGGTGCAGTTCTACACGGCCATCATCGAGTCCATCCTCACCTCCTCCGTCACCGTGTGGTTCGCTGGAGCCACAGTCAGGGACAAACAGAGACTACAGCGCATTGTGCGCTCTGCAAAGGAAGTGATTGGCCGCAGCCTTCCATCGCTGCAGGACCTGTATGTCGCCCGAGCTCGAGGCCGGGCTGGTCGTATCACAGCCGACCCCTCTCACCCTGCACATGGACTATTCCAACCACTCCCCTCAGGCAGGAGGCTGCGGTCCATCAGGACTAGAACCTCCCGCCACAAGAACAGTTTCTTCCCCTCTGCTGTTGGACTCTTGAACACTTCTTAACCTGTCCCCCCGCCCTTTATAAAGTCACTTTACTGCCCATCATACGTCACTTTACTTCACTGTACTGCTGTCACCTTACATTGTGTGCACCATGTGCACTTGTATATTGTAAATAGTAACTGTAACTCTATTTTAAATTTAAATTTATTCTTTAGAAGTGTTTTTTATTCTTATTTTTATTATCTCTTTTTGACTGTTGCACTGAGCCAAAGCAATTTCCTAGTCTGTGACCTCCTGTTACTTACGTGGCAATAAAAATGATTCTGAAGGGAAAGGCATCTTTTCTGGTCTTGCCATTTAAGAGCCTGTAATCCATGCACAGTTGCAAGCTTCCGTCCTTTTTCCTAACCAGAACAGTAGGGGAGGCTAATGGGCTGCAACTTTCCTGTATGACCTGACTGTCCAACAGCTTTCGTATGTGGGCACGGACCCCGTCATAGTCTGATGGGGGTATGCGTCTATATCGCTGCCTGATTGGGACATCGTCATTAAGCGGTATGTCATGAGTAATGAGACTAGTGCAGCCTAAATCTAGGTCTGATGTGGCAAATACACCTTTATGCTGCAACAGGAGTGACTTCACCCTCTGCTGCTCTGGTCCAGCCAAATGAGACAAATCAAGGGCATTTACAGTGCCTTGCGAAAGTATTCGGCCCCCTTGAACCTTTCAACATTTCGCCACATTTCAGTCTTCAAACATAAAGATATAAAATTTTAATTTTTTTGTCATGAATCAACAACAAGTGGGACACAATCGTGAAGTGGAACGAAATGTATTGGATGATTTAAACTTTTTTAACAAACAAAAAAGTGAAAAGTGGGGCGTGCAATATTATTCGGCCCCTTTACTTTCAGTGCAGCAAACTCACTCCAGAAGTTCAGTGAGGATCTTTGAATGATCCAATGTTGTCCTATGACTGATGATGATAAATAGAATGCACCTGTGTGTAATCAAGTCTCCGTAAAAATGCACCTGCTCTTTGATAGTCTCAGGGTTCTGTTTAAAGCGCAGAGAGAACCATGAAGACAAAGAAACACACCAGGCAGGTCCGAGATACTGTTGTGGAGAAGTTTAAAGCCGGATTTGGATACAAAAAGATTTCCCAAGCTTTAAACATCTCAAGGAGCACTGTGCAAGCAATTATATTGAAATGGAAAGAGTATCAGACCACTGCAAATCTACCAAGACCCGGCCGTCCCTCCAAACTTTCATCTCAAACAAGGAGAAGACTGATCAGAGATGCAGCCAAGAGGCCCATGATCACCCTGGATGAACTGCAGATACTCCTTCCATTTCAATATAATTGCTTGCACAGTGCTCCTTGAGATGTTTAAAGCTTGGGAAATCTTTTTGTATCCAAATCCGGCTTTAAACTTCTCCACAACAGTATCTCGGACCTGCCTGGTGTGTCCTATAGCAGCAAAAAAAAAAAACAACAACTACATTGATACTGTGCCGCAACAGTGCAGCTCTATACCGGCACCTGGTGGATCTCAGAAGTAATAGCATTCAATTCGGTGAAGTATGTCCAATTAATGCATATTTTGGACACTATCACCCTAGCTTTAGAGAATGTCAATAAAAAAGGAATCGGACCACCTGTCAGTGATCTTTTTCCAAATAAAAAATCTAATTTGTGATAAAATACCACTTCACTTTGGTGTGAAAAAGAAATGCAGCAAAATGTAATTTTAGCTGCACTGACTGATTTGATTAATCTGGGTGTATTTAAGTCATGCTCATGCTTTGTCCTAAAATGCCTAAACATTGACCATTAAATATTGTTTATTGACAAAGCGTGAAACATGACATACAAACATTACCCGATTTGCAATTAAGTCAAATGATCCCACACGTAACACTTTCTTTTAGTGGAGGTTTTTCCTCTTTGAAAGGGTAGTTGTTGCAACATCTCGGGTAGTGTGATATATACTGTTCTGAAACGTAATAATCTTTTTGCCTACATAAAAGTATGTCTCCAGAAATGTCACTGCTTTGGATAATTACCTACTGTTAATACTTTTTTTATTGTTGTACAGGGAAGAGAAAAAGGGCGCTCTTCCAGACGGAGACTGTAGAAATGATGAGGCAGATCCAAGCTGAAGATGTGGTGCAGCAGGAGCTGAACCGGACACAGCAACTCCAGCTTGTCAGAGAGTCGCAAGAGTTGGAAGCGACATTGAGGAGGGAGGAAAATGCACAGGCGGCTGCATTTAACCAATCGTTTCTTGGTCTCCTGGGCCAGCTGGTGGAAGCCATGAGTGGCCGCCGAAACTGACACTCTTCACCAAGACACTCTTCACCAAGACACTTTGTAAATAATTTTATTGGTGCACTTTAAAATTTTGTTTTTTTTAAATAAATGTGTGATTTTTTCCAAGACAGGTTTCATTTCTCGGTACACATGACAGTTAACATGCAAACCAAAGGTTTCACATTATTTGTTGTCAGTAAATCCTTAATTGTGGTAAATTTAGGAATAGAAGGTTTATTTATTCCCAGTCATGAAGTGAGGAGCCTGCAGGGAACAATACAGACTACTGATAATGTACAGTGTTGGTTACAATACAATAAGCTAGGAAAGTGGGTAAGAAAGGCACGATAAAGAGTTTGTGTGTACACGTGCGAGTGACTGATCCAAATCTGAAAGGGAATAAAGGTATTTGTAATGGTGGGAATGGTTAATGGGTGTATGATTGAAAATGTATGAATTAATATTTCATTAATATGCAATATTGGCTCTCTGCATATACATGAACACATACATGCATATCCCACCAAAAGGTTACAATGACAAAACAAGTAACAGCACAAAAAATGAATCCATTATGACTGTCAATACTTGTGCTACATTGTGTCCTGTTCTAGTGGTGCGTTGGACCTCTCTATTGCTATTAACATCCATATCTATATTAATGTTATCAGCACTATTTTTGTGCAATGCGAGCAAGTGCTGAAACCCATTTTTAAAAGTTAGCGGTCTCTGTAGTAGTATCTATGGAGGACTTTGAGTTGTATGTTTGAGTTTTTGGCCATAAAGTAAATGTTGCGGATTTGGGTCCAGAAATTGGCATCTGGAGAAAATGCAAAGTTTTGACATCGTGTTGGGTAGTGTTAATTCCTGTAAGTCATTTGCATAATTGAGTTTGTTTTTGGGAGTGAACTTTAGAAGTCTCGGAGTCCTCCATTGTTTGAGGATGTAATGTTTTTCCTGGTTTAATGCTCGTGAGTCGCGCGGAAATGACGTAACGGTAGCGGAAATGACGTAACGGTAGCGGAAATGACGTAACGTAGCGGTGGTATGAAAAGCCCACCCACTTGAAGGTGTCCAATGGAGATATGTGGAAAAGCACGCGTACTCGACCGGGTCGTGACGTGTCGTGTAGAGTGGTGTAGTGCCGGTGCTGTGGAAAAGCGCTATTAGTAAGCGACACGCTGTCGGGGAGACTAACAACTTCGGCTTTCCTTATAATACCAATAGGCTGCCGAGGGTGTAACACTAGGCTGTCTGTCCCTACATTCACCACTGGGACATAAACTGTACCTTGGTGGATGTTGACCATAGCCGGTGAGATTTGCAGACCCTGTTGAACAGACTGGCAATCATCCAAGGGCTCGAGTAACGCTGTGCCTGAGGACCGAAAAAAATGAGACGAACAGGTAGCGGCAACCCACTTAATTTTCCTCCCTGGAACTATCACCGAGCGCCTACCTCTCACTTTAGCCACTCCCTTCTCTGGCTGGAGAGTCTGGGACTCCATTTGGTGACAGTGCTGTAACGCCCGCTGCCAGAGCGGGGGTGCAAGGCGTATCTCAGGGAGATCAAAAAGGTGTGACCCATGTTGGCTGAACAACTGGTAGTGACACACACAGTATCACATTCATGCCTATCACACCCTTTACCCCATCTGAAGCTTGCTGTCTGAACGGCTCCTTGACCACCAAGATACCCCGCTGCTGAACTACCATACCAAATATAGTGACGTCTAACTCGACGTAACCAACAAAGGGAATATCAATGCCATTGGCTGCAGTTAGCTCAAGCCAATTACAGGGCCTAGGGACAGTGTGGAAATGTTGATAAAAGAAACCCTCATAAACAGTGGAGACCATAGACCCCGTATCCAACAAAAAGTTTGCTGTAACATCACCAAGCTTGGCAGTTACCTTAGGACATGGGGCAATGAGATTTGGGGCCGCTTGCTCTTGTGCTGCCCTGTGGGTTGATGAGCCGGTGCTCTCCCCTCCTGACGTTTGGCTCCTCACATCAGGGGGTTGCAGTTTCCCACCTCCTGGGCTGCTGTCACTGCCCCCATATGTGGGGCTCTAGGCTGGGAGGGCACACGTTCATTATCACAATCTCTGGCAAAATGGCTAGGTTTTTGAAAACGCAGGCAGATTAGAGTGTTTGGCCGAGCTGTTCTACCTGGGGGACGTACAGAAGTCTGTAATGCTTGGAGGCCTAGAGCCAACTGGTTAAGCTGCTCTTGTTGTTTCTCAAACAGTTGCCGCAATTCCCTAAACTCCGAGCTGGCATTGGTAGAAGGTGCACGTGTGTTAGGGTAGTGCATTGAACTAATTGAGGGTACTGAGTAGCTTCGGGCCCGGGGTTCCTCAGACCTTCCTTCCCGTTCCCACCTAATAGCATCTGCTCTCACCTCAATCAAGGTATGCATGGGGCACTGCCTCACTAATCTCTTTAACTCCCTGCGAAGATGTGGATCCAACACATGCTCCACAAACTGATCGCGGAGGAGATTGGGGGCATCAGGCATAGACTGTGGGGAACTTCGCTCGACCTTCTCCATAAGGCAACACAATGCGTGTGAAAATTCCTGTAGCGATTCCCCTTCCTGCTGCCTCCTTGAGAAAAATGCTTGCTGTAATGAGACATACGATCTGCTACACCCATACAACTCTTGCAAAATTTTAAACATTTTCTCTGGGTCCTCTCTGTCTGCTCTTGGCCGGTACCTTATCTCATCCTTAGCCTCCCCCTCAAGATGGTCATACATTAAGTAAGCTTGGTCCACAGGCTGCAGGCATCTGGTTCTCAGAGTAGCCCTCATCTCTTCAACCCAGTCCTCCACAGGAATTCCAGTAATGCCCCTAAATGATGGACACTTTCTTTCTCTGGGAATGTATAACACACGTTCAGCTGGTGAGCCATTAGTGTGGTGTCGAGAGCTAGTACATTTTCAGATTGGAGCTGTGCCAGCTGATCCCTCAGCTCTTGCAGTTCCATAGTCATGGTTGAAGGGAGGGGTGGGCAGGTAGAGCACGTAGACACGTCTGAGAAGGGAGGACAATTGTTCTGGGGCAGCAGATCTCTCGAAGCGCCCACTGCTGTTTGCTTGGGGTTTTAACAGTAATAACAAAACATTTTTTTATCTAAACCTAGAGTCACTCACTCATCACCACGGCAATCCTTAGCCAGCAACGCCAGAATGTAACCGTACCTAGTTACCTTAGGTTCAGGATTGCAAATGGCGATGGAAATGAGGCAGAGGCAAGGATAAAAGTTTAACAATATTTATTATTCACAAAAAGCTAGTTAAAAAGGGTATTTTAAAAGCCAATTAGTGTGGAGATAAAACTGCATTAATTAGGTAGGTCGGTCGCAGCCGCACACGGCAGAAGCACATGGGCCAGAGCACCCACTGCAGCTCCGTGAACACTCAACGCACACACACACACACACACACACACACAAAGGAAAACTAAAGAAACGTGAAAGTGAGGGCGTGCAACAATACCACAACATACGAGGAGTGAGGGGGACTGACGTGAGACTCTGCCAACAAACCTCCACCAGGGACGACCACGCCCGGACCAGACCTTAGGGGAAGAAATGCAGATCTTAGGGGCAAAAAATGGGTAATGGAGAACAAAACGAAAGGAAAAGTAAATAGAATAATTTTGTTTAAGGCATAGCTAAGTAAATGATAAAACTAAATAAAAAAGACAAAAACCAAAACAAGAAACACTACTTAAATGAAAACCCAAACAAAACAGCAGTGGCCAACAGCATCTATGAAACAAATGGCTATTAGTTTCATGCCACATAACTACACAAACAAAAGAGCACAACAGTGTATAATACCATGAGCACTATGTACAAAGTTAGTGAGGAGACATGGCCACGCACGACTTTTAACCAGTGGCCGTGGTAGCAGGCTGCTAAACAACGTCCGGCAGCTACTCGAGATCTGGCAGAACGAGTGAAGCCTGACAGCAGCTTACCTTCCTGTGCACTGGGGTGTCTATAAGTCAGGGGTCACCAACCCTATGCCCGCGGGCACCCGGTCGCCCGTTGGTTCCTTCCCAGTCGCCCGTGGGACTAGTTCTAAAAATAGTGAGTCAGCCTGAATTTTTTTTATTTTTTTTTATCTACGCCTTATGTTATTTATTTTTCAAGTTAAAATATTAATATATGCTATTACTTAAGTAGTAATCTTAATATAAATGTATAGTTGCATGTAGGTCATAGTTCATCAGTCACCTGCGCATGACAATTAATTCTGCTTTTGCTAGCTAAATACAATTATCATACCGCGCTAAAAACCATGGCTGAGAAGAGAAAAAAGACCTATGCTTTTAACCAAGACTGGGAAGAGGAGTTCTTTTTTATATCGATTCGGGATAAGTGCGTGTGCCTTATTTGTGGAGCAACGGTGGCGATTTCAAAGCAGCACAATGTGGAGCGTCACTATCAAACCACTCACGGTAGCTTCCACCAAAACTTTCCCCCCAAGACTGCGCTTCGGGCGGAGAAAGCGCGTGAGTTAAAGGCCGCTTTAACCAAGCAGCAGAGCTTTTTCACAAGACCACTGAAGAAGGCCCAAAAGGCCACCGAAGCTTCATTCAGAGCTACGCATTATTTGATTAAAAACAAGAAGACGTTTTCTGATGGACAGATTGTTAAGGGTGCTCTGATGATAATCGCAGAGACTGTAAAGACGATAAAAATGGATCTGATGTGATCTCAAGTCTAGCTGAAGTACAACTTGGGGCAAGTACTGTGACCAGAAGAGTGTCCGCTATGTCCACGAACTTGAATGAACAGCTGGACAAGGACTTAAGAACATGCCAGTGGTTCAGCGTCCAATGTGACGAGTCTGTGGACAGCAGCAGCACAGCTCAATTAATGGTGTTTATTCGGATGGTATTTGAGGATTTCTCCGCTAAAGAAGAGCTCCTCACGCTCATACCACTGAGGACAACTACGCGAGGAGTGGACATTTACAACGCGATGAAAACTTTTTTTGTGGAGAAAAAAGTGCCGCTGGAGAAGCTCGTGTCAGTAACTACCGATGGTGCACCGGCGATGGTAGGATGTCATGTGGGCTTCATAGCGCTTTGCAAGAATGACCCAGACTTTCCACCTTTCCTACACTACCACTGTATCATCCACCAGCAGTCGCTATGCGCGAAAGTGACCGGGTTTGACCACGTAATGACCCCCGTTATCAAAATCATCAATAGCATTCGCGCTAAAGCCAAACAACACAGGACATTTAAGTTTCTGTTGGAGGAGCTTTCCGCGGAATATGGGGACTTGTTGCTGCATACAGAAATCCGATGGCTCAGCAGAGGGCGGATTTTGAAACGCTTCCTGGCACTTTTGGGTGAAATAAAGGAGTTTATGCAGAGCAGAGAAGAGGACACCTCACTCTTGGACAATACTGAGTGGTTGCTTGACCTTTCCTTTTTAACAGACATATCACAGAAAAACTGAACTATTTGAACTGTGAGTTGCAAGGCACCGGTAAGACTGTCACAAATATGATAAGTGCTGTAAACACTTTTAAAGCTAAAATGAACCTTTTTTCTGCGCATTTGAAAAGAAAAAGTGTTGTACACTTCCCCTCTGTGCAAAAAGTTCTCAGTGACAATGTTTCTGCATCCGTGGCCTTTGATGGGGCTGTAGAGGAATACTGCCAAGTGATAAACAGACTGATGAAAGAGTTTGAGAACAGATTTAGTGATTTTGAGCAAATTGAGCCATGTGTGTCATTCATTTCAAATCCCTTTATGTCAGTTGATATTACAGGCACAGCTGAGAACCTAAGCACAGCCTTTACCTTGGATGCAGGGCAGGTAGAAATGGAAATAATAAGTCTGCAAAATGACCTGTACCTTAAAACACATCTGAGTAGCCCAAACTTTTGGAACCTAGTGGACATGGAAAAGTACAGATCTATCTGCACAGCAGCTCTGAAGGTTGCTTGTCTCTTTGGGTCCACTTATCTCTGTGAATCAGCCTTTTCCAATATGAACTTCATAAAAAATAAACACAGAACACGCCTAACTGATTCACATCTGGAAGATTCACTGAGAGTGGCAGTGTCAAACTATACACCAGAGTACAGAAAACTAGTGGACAACATGGAATGCCAGGTTTCTCATTAACTGACAACATTGAACAGTGTTTTAGTAAAACACCATGTTACCCGGTCAATTGATCATTGTTCATTTATTAAAGCAAAAGTTGGAGATGACACAATCTCAAGTATTTGGAAAAACAATGTTCTGTGTTTTGTTGAATTAAATTGTGACTTGTTTATGTTCATTTAAACTAAATAGATGTCACTTTGTCAAATAATAAATTAATTTACATATACTACAAATACCCTTTTTGTGTGAATATTGTAAGCTTTTTTGACTTTTTTATAAATATGTTTTGAGCTGGTAGCCCTCAAGCTATTTGTGAATCTTAAGGTAGCCCTCAGCTTTAAAAAGGTTGGTGACCCCTGCTATAAGTAATGTTGCTGATCGCTACTGAGCCAATACGGAAATGTGAGGGGAGGGGCATGTGTGCCGGGTGCAGTAGTGTATGGTAGCCAGGAAGGGACAAACTGCCTACCGCTACACTTGCTTTCTGTGGTCTCTACAAAAAAGTGGTGAGTTGCAAGCATTTTCTGTCAGTCCCTCATGCCTTCGGTGGGATCCTGAGAGGGCTGGCATTGTCTTACTTACTCCCAAAGGTGCTTTAACATGACTATTATTACCGGCCTTTGAGGTTGGCGCGGTTTGTGTCTCCACTGGATGGGGTTGGGGACAGGCTGCACCTGCTGTGCCCTGTGAGGGCATTGGAGGCCAACATTGCGGCAACGGCAGGTGTGAGACGCTCAGACCAGCTCTTCATCAGTTATGATGGTGCTAGGCTGGGCGGTCAGCCTTGTGAGCAACGCCTTTCCCACTGGGTGGTTGACATTATCAGTCATGCGTATGTTTCCATCGGCCGCGACCGGTGAGGTGAGGGCTCATTCTACCAGGGGTGTCTCTACCTCCTGGGCCGCTATGCGCAGGTTTCCTCTGGGGACTGTTTGTGCTGCTGCCTCTTGGGCTACACCGAGCACATTCACCAGGCTCTATAACGTCAATGTGGCCACTCCGGCTCCTCTTGGCTTGGTCCTTCAGGAATCCTCTGGCTCTCCTTCGTGAGGTATGTGGTCAGGCTCCTTCGTGACATGTGTGGTAAAAAGCGCCTGCTTTCCCACGGGCCATCCCGGTGGGCTTTATAAGCGCTCCTCCTCTCATTTGCCCCTGTTTAACCTCACGCCTCTGCAGCTGTGTGTTTGTCCCAGCTCCGCGCATCCAGTGCCGCTGTCTGGTTCCTAAAAGCACCTTAAAACCTCTGCGTGCCAGGTAAACCACTGCTCCCATCACAGTTATAAAAAGCACATTTACAAAACCCGATCTTTCCCCGGCTCCTGTGTCTGCCCTCCTCTGCGTCTGTACTCTTGTGCGCCAGAGGCTTCTGTAGCGTGCCTTTGACTGCAGCGACATGTCATTCATAAAGTCGCCCGTGCACAGTTTTGTAATGTGATCCACCCTCTCTAGTCACGCTGCTTGACCCAAGCCTAGGAGCTGGGTCCCATACTAAAGGTACTTATTTTAAAAGCAAAATTCATTCATGCCTAGTTCAAATCTTAACCCGGGACCTTTATCTAGCTGGTTGTGGTCAGTATTACGCACCACCAGTGGCCGGGTCTGTTCATGGCCTAAAGCTGTGGACCATGCGTTCTTGGGGCTTCTAATTGGTAGACTTTATCTATTAAGATTTACTACTGTCCCTTTTTGTTATTTATGTAGGTTTTTTTTAGGTAACTTTCTAAATTAATCTTTTTTATAGGTGTGTTCCAGCGGCACTGGCACACGCCCCCCTGCTGCTTTGTCTTATTCTGCTTTGTCTTGGCTTCAGCTGTTTTGCTTCTGCTTCAGCTGCTTTGTCTTCGCAGCTTTGTATCGCTATCTTGCTTTGCACAATTGCTTCGCACAATTGCTTCACTGCTTCGTTTTGTGACTTTGTTTCATCCCACTGTTTTGCTGCTCCGTGTCACTCGCAGTTGATGCCTGCGTTCAGCACTCATGCACTTTAGTAAGTGCTGTGTCCCGGCTCTGGGGCGTAAGCTACTTGTGGGAATGTGCAATAAGCAGTGAATGTGAGTTGAGTGTGCGAACGAGTGTGAATGTAGCATTGAGTTTTATCCATTTAATTAATTACAAGGCTGTATACTGTTTTGATTACACTGTAAAATAAACTTGTTAAACCTGTTAAACTTGGAACCTGGTGCACTCTAATCTTTTAATATTTACCTGTGTGTCCTTATTTTATACAATACTCTTCCGGTGAAATTCCGGTCTTGGCGTTGCTTGGTCTATTTCATCACTTCCATATTTTAACTTGTTTTAATTAATTTAACTTATTTCTTCAATCAAAAAACCACTACCTCTAAGCTGCCACACAGAGCTGGTATTGGGTCATTCAGTGCTATGCACTGCGGTCAGGAGGGATAAAATAGAACAAAGGTTACGTATATAACCACGGTTTTATGAATCCCGGATGACCGCCAGAGGCGCTCAGTCACTCAGGGTCCTTGCATGTGTGACCGCAGGGCCCTGGTATAATGGTGGGATGCAACAAGTAATTGACCAGACACAAATTATACAATTTTGAGCAATTTATTTGGCGAAATGAGACCTAAGAAATAGGAAAATATATGTTTTTATTTCATTGTATTACATGTAATCATTAAAAATACCAATTATAAAATATGTGCTCCAATGCTAACCAGAAAGAAAGAAAGCAACACTCAGGGCTGGCCAGTAGCGGCCATACACGATGGAGGACTAAGGGGCTGGAATAGAGCACTCACTACGCTCCGTGCCACACATTCATACACACACACCAAATCAAGAAAAGAGGCAAACTGAAAATGTACAAGTGGTGAAGGGAGGTGCAAAATACCACGGCATTCAAAAGGAGTGATGGTGCAGCAGTGGGTAACTCTATCACCAAATCCCCCACCATGAGAAGCCACGCCCGGACCAGACCCTGAGCAGAAAAAGACACAATGAGCACAAGTACCCAATCACAGGGTTCAATATATTAAAATGAACTAAGCACCAAACAAACACAGTAAATAAGTAAATTAAATAAAGAAACAACAAAAACAAAATTAAATGCCAATTAGACCCAAATAAAAACTGCAAGGCACTCAGCGCCTATAAGAACAAAAAAGAGTTAACACATGTAATAAATATTCCTCCTCTACTTGTAAACTGGCATTACCTAGTATGACTACAAGAGAGCGGCTACGTCATAGCAGGCCGCCTCCTTTACACACGCAGCAGTCTGAGGCTGTATCCGAATGTCCACACTATACCCTATATAGTGCACTATATAGTGGTCACGCCATTTTGTAGGGGTGTCCGAATGTCCAGAGAGAAAAAGTAGTGCACTGGAATTTTCCCACAATGCATCTCGAAAATGTAGTGAGCAGCGATGGTCACTATACGGAAGTAAAATGGCGGAGGCAGCGAGAGACGAGCTGGAAGAGGAGCAACACATGAGCTATAAATGTGAGTTTTTAATCATCATAAATATGTAAATGTGTAAACCGTGATATATTGTTGACGATAAGCTGCCAAAATACACATTTGAATACCATTGCCTTTTACTGCGAAACAACGTACCAATGTTATGCCGCGAAAGTGTTAGCATTTTCGCATATCATAACATTAACATCTAAAGCGAACGCTACAGAAACGGGTCACTGGTGGTCAGTCATTAATGTTATTAAAGCACTTGTGTTATATGTATAGCATTTATTGTGTGTTTAATGTTTTTTAAAGGGACAGACACTGATGTGGAGAGACTCATCTGACTGCGGGTGAAAAATTTGCATCGGCGGCTGGATGGGAGTACGACCATTATGAATAAATACTTATTCAAAAAACGTCTACTCATATTCAAATGTTTTTATGTATCGTTACTTTAGGGCAGTGATAAAGGAAATGGGGCTGAGCCGCCTGATCAGCCCTGCCAGAGCGGCCAAGAAGTGGGAGAACCTGAAAAAGACCTACAAGGTTTGTTTCTTTGAAGCTAATTTGTGAAGCATTTATTATACAAAACTCACTGTTTTAAGGAGCTCAGACAGCCACGCACAGGGACAGGGACAGAAGGAGGGGAGCCCATTGCCATATTTTGATAAGTGTAGTTTGAACTATATGCATATCGACATACAATGATGAACACTATTTACAAAAAAAAATTTAATCAACTAGACATTTGTAAAGAACTATACATACATTCAACAATTTCTTTTTAGATATTTACATATTCAATTGTTTTTGTTTTTATTTAAATAGGCCAAAACACAGATTATTCAAACATTTAATTAATAGTCGTGGTCCCGAAGAGCTGGTAGCCTGGCCCTTGGGGTGGAAAGT